GCCCACGGGACAAATCAACAGTGCCCACATCTGGCCATCTGCGGAAACGCTGACAAAGGCCTGAATCAATACTTTTTATTCCTGAGAGCTTAGGTCTTTTGGAATCCCTAGTTCAGGTCTTGTAGGACAGGATCTGGATCTCCTGGGACAGAGAAAACAATATCTGTATTTGGTAGTAATGACTCAGAGCAGGTTCTAAGAGTGGGGGCCACCAAGGTTTGGAGCAGTGAAGGGACTTAGATGCCCATATTTCTAGGGTTTTCGAATATTTGTGGCCACTTATGAAACTATCACTTCCAACAGCTATTCTTTAAATAGCAATGTTCAAATAGAAGCAGAGACTGAGCACTACAGGGCAAGTGTACAGAAGACATGCCATAAAGACAGCTTTCCCTGGCAGTTCGGTTTGCATGCCTCACTCAGTACAACTAAGCTCAGAAGTTAGATAGGCTCCTGACCCTTAGAGGGCATGCACTTCAGGCAGGGATGGGGTCCCAGTCTCCCCACTCTGAGCAGCTTATTTAAGTCTTCATTCCAGCCTTGTGCCACACCATCCCCTCCCTGAGAGGTATTCTGGAAACAATGATTTCCCCATCTTGTTGCATACCTGGTGCCATTTTAGCACTCTTCAAGGACTGGGACCCCATCGCACCCACCCAGCCAGACTTATCCCAGAATCCTGCCCTGGCAAAGCACTCTTTTTAGACTGAAGAAGAGTAGGTCAGTCTGTTTCCCATCAGTGTCCTATATCTTTGTTTGCTTCCGTAACAAGAATGCAGGACCCTGAGGGCAGGAATCCACTTTCTCCTCATTTTGCACGTCCACACAGGTCTCTGACTTCTGCAAATGTCAGAATACATAAGCCCTCATACTCAAAAGACAAATGTTTTAGTGAGAGGGAGTCTTGCTCTGTCATCCAGTTGCAGTGCAGTGGTGCAATCATGGCTCACTGCAGCTTCAACCGCATGGACTCAAGTGATCCTTCTGCGTCAGCCTCCTGAGTATCTGAGATTACAGGTATTAGCCACCATGTTCGGCTAATTTTTAACAATTTTCTTGTAGAGACAGTGTCTCACTATATTGTCCAGGCTGGTCTTGAACTCCTGGACTCAAGCAATTTTTCCACCTTGGCCTCCCAAAATGCTAGGATTACAGGCATGAACCACAGCACCCAATAGAAAGACACATATTGAGTAAAACTCAGACTGTAGAAAACCTTGATGTGTAATAGGTGAAATCACAAAACATTAGATCGATAAACTTGACTGTATACAGTGTTTTCAAAATCCATACACATATATCATCTTATAGATGAGGATGCAAAGCTTAGAAAAGCTGAGCAATTTGAACAAGGACACACACATTCCTCGGCCTGAAAGAAGCTGAACTGGAAATCAAACCCAGGAATGTCCAGTGTAAAAGCTTGAGGGCCTGAGGATTGCCTCTTTTTGTGTCATGCCTATACTGGATGTTAGAACGTGTGAATTACACACACACACACACACACACACGTATGTGTATATATACAAGAATATATATTTTTAAATACACATATAAATTTATAAGCAAAGCACAAGGAAGAAAAAAAAACATTGGTAAAAGAGGAAATGTACGACAATAACCAAATGTGCACTCTCCCTGGTGATAAAAACGCAAATGAAAATTGAATATGGCACCAAGTTTTGCTTATTAAATGAGCAGAAAAAAAGACAATAGCTATGACTGATAGAGTGAAACTAGCACCCTTAGATACTGGGAGCACTGAGAATATGCCCTGTCGTTAGGAAATCATCCTGGTTCTACATATCAAAAGTTTTTCCTCCTGTTGTTTAATGCCTTTTTCAGGCATTCAGCAGGTATTACTGAGAATCTGTCATGTGCCAGCCATTGAATCAGGTACCACTGGAGTAAGCAGGCAGAAGTGTGGGTCCTCACCCCAAGGGCAGCCATGCTAGCTCTGGTATGACCAACTAGGGGCTTGTAGATGAGAGAGGAATAAACCTCTTCCTTGTCTAGGCCACTGTTTTCTTGGGTTTTTCTCTTTTACTTGCAGCCAAACTGAATCCTACTTATACAGAAGGTAAGTAAGCTTTCACCAGCTGCTCTGGTTTCTTTTTTCTTTTCTTTTTTTCTTTTTGAGACAGAGTCTCACTCTGTTGCCCAGGCTGGAGTGCAGTGGCACAATCTCGGCTCACTGCAACCACCACCTCCCAAATTCAAGTGATTCTCCTGCTTCAGCCTCCCAAATAGCTGGGACTACAGGCACGCGCCACCATACCTGGCTAATTTTTGTATTTTCTTTTTAGTAGAGATGGGTTTTTACCATGATGGCCAGGCTGGTATAGAACTGCTGACCTCAGGTCATCCACCCGCCACAGTCTCTCAAAGTGCTGGGATTACAGGTGTGAGCCACCATGCCCCAGCCCTGCTGTCTGGTTTCTCAACGGAGTAGAGGCAAGATCACCAAAACACGGCGAGAATGTGGGAGGGAATGGAGGCTTGAGTGGAAAAGGCATGAAATTATCACTGCAGAAAAGGAAAGGGTGATCTTATTAGAGAAACATTGTAAAATGGCTGGGCAATGATGAGTTCTGTCTTGAGTTTCCAGAAATAGATACTTGAAGAATTCAGGTTTTTTTTGTTTTTTTTTTTTTTTTTTTTTTGAGATGGAGTCTCACTCTTGTTGCCCAGGCTGGAGTGCAGTGGCACAATCTCGGCTCACTGCAACCTCCGCCTCCCAGGTTCAAGTGATTCTCCTGCCTTAGCCTCCTGAGTAGCTGGGATTAGAGGCAGCCACCAACCATGCCCAGCTAATTTTTGTATTTTTAGTAGAGACAGGATTTCACTATGTTGGCCAGGCTAGTCTCAAACTCCTGACCTCAGGTGATCCACCTGCCTTGGCCTCCCAAAGTGCTGGGATTACAGGTGTGAGCCACCACACCTGGCCATTTAATGCATTTTTTTATGTATTTATTTTTTAAAATCTTACCAATGAATTCATGTCACATGTTTATGTATTATAATAGAATTTTTTATTTTCTTTAACAGACAAGTCCTATGGCTCTCTTATTAAATGTTCAAGATAAACAAGATAAAAGGTTTTTGACAATTATTTTAAAGCCAGCTCCCTCCAGCTGCTCTAGGAAGAATGTATGGGAGAGAGGGTAATTGTTCATGACTCTATCTTGCCTTTTGTACCAGGCAAGACAATAGGAAGTAGCCCTCCTGGTGTGTTTCTAGGGACCAGGTTGTCAAAGTAAATTTGGCCTAAAGCTGCCTCCAGAAATAGCAAGCTTCAACCTAACTTAGTATGTAAACAAACTGTAACCTAACTAAGAGTATATTCTTGTAACAAGTAGTTAGGTCTCTGCCAATCATAACAGCTGAGCTTTCAGCCAATCCCAGGCTGCAGACTGCCCAGACAAGTCCAAATAAGGCAACCACCCGGCTGTAACCAATCAGGCTATTTCTGTGTCACCTCCTTTTTCTGTCTCTAAGTACTGCCTGTCCACCTTTGCTGGGTGGAGCTCTCTGAACCTTTACTGGTTCAGGATGCTGCCTGATTCATGAATAGTTTCTTTGCTCAGATAAACTCTGCTAAATTTAACTAGTCTGAAGTTTTTCTTTTCATAAAATCCAAGAGAGTATTTAAAAATTACAACCTAACATTGTACAAAATACACTATGGGGTCAGCATGGAGAATCTGTTATGTTAACCTGCATTCTTTATTTTTTTTAAACCAGACTCCTATATTTATCTAGAGCACTGTACAGTCAGCTCTCCGTATCTGTATCCATGGAGTCAACCAACCACAGATGAAAAATATTCCAAAAATTAAAAAATAACAACCTAACAATTAAAAATACAAATAAAAATATAGTGTAAACAACTATTTACATAGCATTAACATTGTATTAGGTATTACAGGCAATCTGGAGATTATTTAAAGTATACAGGGGCCGGGCATGATGGCTCATGCCTGTAATCCCAGCAGTTTAGGAGGCCAAGGCAGGTGGATCACAAGATCAGATCATCCTGGCCAACATGGTGAAACCCTGTCTCTACTAAAAATATAAAAATTAGCTGGGTGTGGTGGCACACGCCTGTAGTCCCAGCTACTCGGGAGGCTGAGGCAGGAGAATCACTTGAACCTGGAAGTGGAGGTTGCAGTGAGCTGAGATCAGGCCACTGCACTCCAGCCTGGGAGACGGAGCAAGACTCTGTCTCAAAAAAAAAAAAAAAAAGTATACAGGAAGATGTATGCAGGTTGTACGTAAATATTACACCATTTTATTTATTTATTTATTTATTTATTTATTTCAAGAAAGGCCAACAATGCCTAAACTCTTTATTTCACCAACCAGTATTTCTGATTTTCTTCCTGATGTTGGATTTTAAAACCTTAAAAGTCTACAAGTATTGCATTCAGACTTTTCACATCAAGAGAAAGGAGCCCAGGGCAGAAGATGTCAGGCCCCAGGCTATTTTGGGGTGGGAAAAGTGGCAAAGATTTCTCAATAGTCTGTGTCAGTCTTCTAACTTAATTGAAATGCCTTTAAGCTATCCTTCATCCCCAAATTTTCCCCCATGGCATCTATGACAGAAAAACACTCCTTTCTAATATCTGTATATGCCCCACCACTGGAAAGCCGGGGCGATGGGAGTGGGTAAGCCAAACTTTTTATTCAGCCAGAAAATGGATTTCCAATTCAGTTTAATTGCAAGGAGTTGTGTAAAACCATACCAAGTCCTGCTTCTTCCTCAAAGTGAACTTGGCTGGATTTTTGTGACTGGAAGAATTTCTCATAATAGTGAGTTAAGCACTATAAAAACGTAAAATCAATCCCATCTCTATGAGAAGCATAAGAGCTGCTTCCGAGAACTGAGGGATACCCACATCCATAACCCACCCAGATGTGGCCAATTCCTCATAGACAGCTACATGAGAAGCATAAAGTCCTTTTGTCAACTGTTTTTGGTGGTGAGGGATAAGCAGTGCTTAGGGAAGGTATAGGATGGATTTTTTCTTCCTGCCACCACCAAAAACTACAGCTCTACACACATGCTCAGACGCACGTACATGTCCATTTTTAAGAAAGCTTTTCCTCCCTGTAACTACAGGATCCCAGAATCCAGCCTCCCTCAGGCTGAGAGATGATGCCTATTAATGGCAGAAACCTAGTAACAGCATACTATAGAAGGCTCCTGTGTTGACTCACAAGTTGAGGGGGCAGGGCAAAGAAGTGGACACTCATGGGAGACTTGCTTTTTGTCTTAAATCCAATCTATTCAGCAACACTCGCAGGTCCAGGGGCTGGGAGAGGCTCTGTGGGCACAATGTGGTGGACGACCTGATGGTCCCAGCCCACTGAGGCAAACAGCGAGTGATTGAGCGGGGACCAAGTAACATCTCTTCAAAGTCTCTGTGGGCTCCGCTTCTAGACACCTCAGCAAGGCTGGAGTCCAGCACCGCAAGTGAGCAGTCTTCACTGAGAGAGGCCAGGAAAGGAACACTGTGTGGGGAGAACAGCAGCCCAGTGACACACCGGGAGTGGACAGCTGAGCTCGGGACACAGCTTGTGCTCTTGGTGTCGACAAGGGAGACCATCCCATTTTCATCACCAAAGACAAAGACTTCACTTTGCTGAGGATGCCAAGCCAGGGAGGTAGGAAGGCAGCCAGAGGCACTGCAGCCAATCCATGACGCTGGCTTGGGACAGCGGGTATCCCAAATAAAATTTTATTGTCCTCACTGCATGAAAGAAACACAGAATCGTCGTGGGGAGAAGCAGCAACATGGGTGACCTGCTCAGCAGGAGCTCGGTATGAATTCAGTACCATCTGCTGAGCAAGGTCCCAAACCTTGATGCAGAAGTCTTTACTACCACTGACGGCTTGTGTGGCAGAGCTCAGGACGCTGACTGTAGACACAATGTCATCATGCTCATACTTGTCTCATAACTGTCTCATTCTCATCCAGTTTCCACAATTCAACAACACCTGAATCGGAGGCCACTACAATACCTCTCTCCCCAGCCCAAGTGAGGTCAGCCACTCCAGCCTCCGTTTGGACTCCGGTGGAGTAGAAGCCTTTGTTGGGGGCAGCACAGGGTCCTTAAAAAGCCAGAGGGAGCCGGCCCAGCAGCGGCCACTCATCGGACGCTTACCGCGCAGCCTCCAACTGCAGTTCCACGCAAGCTGGTGCACTAGGGGGAAGGTTCCACTCCCAGGCCGCCGGGAGCACTAGGGGAGGCGGGGTTTCCTTTCGCATCTCCACGGCTCCAACTCCAACCTAGACTCAAAATCAAACTGGACACGGGCTGGAGACAGCTCCGGCGGCAAACCCCATGTGGTGTGCTCAATACTACACCATTTTATAGAAAGAACCTGAGGCCAGGCACAATGGCTCACACCTCTTATCCCAGCACTTTGGGAGGCCCAGGCAAGAGGATAGCTTGAGGCCAGGAGTTGAAGCCGGCCTGGCCAACACAGCAAGACCTGATCTCTATATTGAAAAAGAAAAAATAAAAGAAAGGACTTGAGCGTCCATGAATTTTGGTACCTGCAAGGGAGTCCTAGAACCAATCCCCTGTAGATACCAAGAGATGACTGAAGAGAGAAAAGCTGTAGAGAAAAGCCGTTTAGCAAAGCCAGATGCAACATCTCTGCTAAGGCTCCGGAACGACGAGATTGCAATCTGGTCAAAGGTTTGGATGAGAGAGACAGCCCTGTGTTGACAGCAGGGCAATTAGCCAGTTCAGACAGCCCCAAGACTCACCCTAGTCAATCTCCAGGCAGAGAGAGGCCCTGCCCACTACAGGAACAAGGTTGCTGAAACAGCAACTGGGAAGCCGGTCTACACCAAGAGCCTTGGGAATCCAGAAGGCCCAGGAAAAATAAGTATCTACAGAGGGTTCAGGGACAATCTGGACTTCACACCCAAGTGAGGAGCCTGGAAATCCCCAGGGGTGAGAAAACACTGCTTTCATCCACCCCTTCCAGAACAGGTTCTACTGTCGCCTGTGCACACTCATATCTGAAGGATACTGCTGTCTGACTGTCCCCAAAACTGGAATTGTTCTCATTGTGGCCTGGCTGTTTCCCTGGATCTGTGGAAATCATCATCACTGTCTTATTCAGACAAGGTACAATCAAAGTTAATCAAGAAAAATTATACAGCACTGCTTAACCAAAGCGCCACAGAGAAGGTATACACAGGGAAGAGAGGGAGAGAAACAACACACAGGTGTGTACCAATAGCATGCAATTTCATGTATTTTTAAATGTTTTAGAGAAAGGGTCTTGCTGTGTTGCCCAAGCTGGCCTCAAGCAATCCTACTGCCTCAGCCTCCTCAGTACCTGGGACTACAGGTGCATGCCAGCTCCAATCCCAATTTTAAACACTGATTATTTCCTTTTGAAGCAGATTCATTGAAGGTTTATTTAAATAAACCTTTTCATGGAGTATTTAAATACATTTATTTGGCCAGATGTGGTGACTCATGCCTGCAATCTCAGCACTTTGGGAGGCCAAGGTGGGCGGATCACAAGGTCAGGAGTTCAAGACCAGTCTGGCCAGCACTGTGAAACCCTGTCTCTACTAAAAAAATACAAAAAAATTAGCCCAGGCATGGTGACACATGCCTATAATCCCAGCTACTCAGGAGGCTGAGGCAGGAGAATTGCTTGAACCTGGGAGGCAGAGGTTGCAGTAAGCCAAGATCATGCCACTGCACTCCAGCCTGGGTGATAGAGTGAAAAAAAAAAACACACACACATTTATTTATGAAGTACATGTTGACTCATACCTTTTCAGGAACATGTACAAACATGTTTAACCATGGTCCTCTCACCTTACTTGGAATGTCCCCCTCTTTGATCTGTGATGGCTCTTTCCTGGATGTATCCCTTCATCCCTTCCTCTATTTCTCTGCCCCATTTCTCCTCCTCCATCAATAGAGGCATTCACTAAGAATGCTTCTTTGTGGTCTTCCAATCTCTTCACTTTCTCCTTGAATAACCATCACTCACTTCTTTTACTTATCATCTCTGCTGCTGATAACAGCTGGCAGCTATAGGTGCTCTCTGTGTGTCAGGCACTGTACTAAACTCTCAAGTTTAATCCTCACAACAGTTCTATGGAGTAGACACTGTTATTATCCCCTTTTTTTTTTTTTTTTTTTTTTTTTTTTTTTTTTTTTTTTTTTTTTTTTTTTTTTTTTGAGACAGAGTCTTGCTCTGTCGCCCAGGCTGGAGTGCAGTAGTACGATCTCGGGTCACTGCAACCTCCACCTCTCAGGTTCAAGCGATTCTCCTGCCTCAGCCTCCTAAGTAGCTGGGATTACAGGCGCCCACCACCGCATCCGGCTAATTTTTGTATTTTTAATAAAGACGGAGTTTCTCCATGTTGGTTAGGCTGGTCTCGAACTCCTGACCTCATGATCTGCCCAACTCGTCCTCCCAAAGTGCTGGGATTATAGGCATGAGCCACCACACCGAGACATTATCCCTATTTTTATACATGGAAAAACAGGCCTAGGGGTGAAAGCAGGCTGCCCAGGGTCACCTAGCTAGTAAGGGGCAGAACTGGATTCGAACCCAGATGGCCCACCTCAGAGGCTTCATGCTGTTCCATGAGCTCTCAAAACTGGACATCCTTCCCAAGGGGCGGGACCATCTCCATCAGCCCCTCAAACCCAGCATGTCACCCACCAGACATTAGAGAGTACTCACTGACATGTTTGTACTGGCTGTGAAGATATTAAAATACTTCAAACTCTGCGGCCTGGAACCCTCTCTTCACCCTGTCACCCTCTCTGCTAAGACCACCCCATATCCAGCATCCCTGGCATGGTGCTGAGGGGCAGAGGCTGGTGGGGGCTCAGCACCCTCCTGGCCTTGGCCTTGCCAGTGCTACAACTATGGCTAAATACTAAGGAATGTGTTGTTTGGTTGGTGTTTTTGGTTGTTTCTGAGACAAGGTTTCACTTTGTCGTCTAGGCTAGAGTGCAGTGATGTGATCATAGCTCACTGCAGCCTGAAACTCCTGGCCTCAAGCAAACCTCTTGCCTCAGCCTCCCAAGCAGCTGTATCTACAGGCACATGCCACCATGCCCAGCTAATTTTTAAGATTTTTTTTTTGTAGAGACAGTGGTCTCGCTAGGCTGCCCAAGATGGTCTCGAACTCTTGGCCTCAAGCGATCCTCCTACCTCAGCCTCCCAAAGTGCTGGGATTACAGGCCACTGTGCCTGATGTAAATACGGTTAATATCACCTCTTCCTCCTCCTTCTCTCTCCACAAACCAGTTCCTCTGCTGACTTCCTTATTTCTGGGGAAGAAATAAGGAACATCTCATGCTCCAGTTTGTATTATACAGAGCCTTTTTCCTGCAGTGCCTGGCCTGGGACCCCACAGTCCTCCATTCTACCTGAAAAACTCCCAGGCCTCCTGTGAGAGCCGGCTGTGGCACCCTTGGTTCCTCTGTGAGGCTCCTGACACCCTGCACCCTAGGGTGTGCAGTGCCCCAGGAGAACTTCACAAACTCCAGTGAACGGACTCTCAGGCAGAGTCTAAACTGTGTTCCTAAGGTCCCCAGCCAGGTTTCTCCATCCTGCAGCGCATGTGGAGTAGAGGAACCATCTGGGCGGCTGTGAAGCTACCTGGGGGGCAAGCAGGAGCCCCGTAAGGAGTCCGGTCCCCTTGGCAGCTGCGGTCAACCTTGAGGCCTCTTGCTCCTGTCTTAAAGGGACGAGGACAGCTCCTCTGAATGAGGGGGCATGGACCTTGAGGGGCCCCTGGGGAGTAAGAGGAGGGGGACAGGCAGACCCGCTCCCTCCAGGCTGGGCTGGCCCTACCGGGCTGTGGTACCCCTCCAGCTCATAGGGTCTCCGACACCATCACCCCCGCTGTGGGTTCTGGACAGATGGGCTGAGGCAATGGCCTGGGGAGAGGGCTCAGGAAACAGGGCTGTCAGACAGGGCAAGCTCCAGCAAAGAGAAGGCCTCGACGCCGCACGTTGCCAGCAAAAAACGATCCCGTGGGGGGTGGGGGGGCGGCGTTGGGGGGGCAGCTGCTGCTGCCAACCCGGTGAAACTCACAAGCCCCCACCTCAGGTCCCCCCAAATCCTCTCAGGGCTCAGCTCTAGGGGCCGGCAGAGACTCTTCCCGGACGGGTCTCGCCTCCCTTGGGGTCTCCGTTTTGCCTGTGAGATGAGGGGTTGATGTTCTCACTCTAAGGTGCCTCAGTTCTCTGCGTCCTCGGGGTCACGCGCTGCTGAGGGCGCGGGCAGTAGAGGGTGGGCCCCGGAGTCCTAGCCGCTGGGACTCGCGGGGGTAGCGGGTCGGGACAAAGAAGGAACAGCAGCCCGGCGTCCGCTCCGGTCTGCCCCTCGAGCAGGGGGACTGGGGCCCCGATCCCGTCACAGGGAGCCCCCCAGCGCCGGGTCACTGAGTGGCGCCGGAGCTGGGGCGCCCGCCCGCCGCGCTGGCCTCCCGCGAGCCGCTGTCGGCCCCGCGACTTACCCAAAAGTTTCCCTTGAACAGTGAGCGCGTCATCGCGGCACGAGTCGGGGCGCGGAGGAGAGCCGGGCTGCAGACGGCGCCGCGCGGGGAGGCCTGACTGCCACTGCCCGCGGCCCCGCAGCTCAACTTCTGCGTTCCACACTCGCGCAGGGAAGCCGCCCCCGGGTCCTAAACCACTCCCGATTGCGACGGCCGCCGTCGGCGCTCTGCGCTCCACTTGCCGGACCTGGGCGGGACCCGCCGCGCTCATCCGGCCAGGGGCTGTAGCCCGCGCCGGGACCCAAGCCCACTTAAAGCCCCACAGTGTCAGGCCAAGATCAATATATCAGCCTGAAGCTAGCTGCCTCCTCCTGGAAGCCTTTGGGGATTGGGAATAGCTGGTCCTGTCTTGGGTTCCTGCCCACAAGGCCCCCTGGACCCAAGAAAATCCAGGCTTTGTGGGGTGACGGAAGGGATCTGATCAGCTGGTGGTCGCGAGGACCCGGTGTAAGCTCCAGAGAGCCGGGGGGCCCACGACGCCCGCAGTCGCTAAAGGTGTAGACGCCTTGGAGTCACGGCGGCCCCACCGGCACCTGTTGCAAATCAGGCCCTGGGGCGCGTTTCACTTTTTGTTGTTGCAGGTGTTTTCTATGACTGGGTCACGTTTAAGTCTAAAATGTCATGGAGAGGTCATTGCTGCTGTTTCTTCTTGACTCTAGTCACTTGATGGGGTCCTTACGGGCCTCCAGGAGCTCAGCTGCTCTATGACCCCTTCCCATTCTCGGAGACAAGACCCTTTCCTGCCCATTCCACCCCAGCAGGAGGGGCCCGAGCTTCCTTCTCCCTTCACTCTTGCACC